ACCGTGACAGACAGGCTTTGGAACCATCACAGACCGTGACAGACAGGTTTTGGACCCATCACAGACCGTGACAGACACGGTTTGGACCCATCACAGACCGTGGCAGACAGACTTTGGACCCATCACAGACCGTGACAGACAGGCTTTGGAACTATCACAGATCGTGACAGACAGGCTTTGGACCCATCACAGATCGTGACAGACAGGCTTTGGACCCATCACAGACCGTGACAGACAGGGTTTGGACCCATCACAGACAGGCTTTGGACCCGTGACAGACAGACTTTGGACCCATCACAGACCGTGACAGACAGGGTCTGGAGCCATCACAGACCGTGACAGACAGGCTTTGAACCCATCACAGACCGTGACAGACAGGCTTTGAACCCATCACAGACCGTGACAGACAGGCTTTGAACCCATCACAGACCGTGACAGACAGGCTTTGAACCCATCACAGACCGTGACAGACAGGCTTTGAACCCATCACAGACCGTGACAGACAGGCTTTGAACCCATCACAGACCGTGACAGACAGGCTTTGAACCCATCACAGACCGTGACAGACAGGCTCTGCTTCGTCATGAACCACGAAAGCGATTGAACGGAGACGAATATTAATAGAGGGAAAAAAATATTCGGTAAATTTTTCCTTTAAGCTTTTTGAGTTTGTAAAGAAGGTTTCACTTGATTATTAATAACTGCTACATCGTGTTTCACATTTTTAATCCCGCAAGGGATTGCGCTAACAGCTTTTTTTAACATAATTCTCTTGGTGCTTGTCATACTTTACTTGATTTCACAGTGTGAGTGTGGTACATATAGGGTAGTGAAGCAAGAAAGTGCTCATAGAAATATATAATTTGTTAAATAGATGATACTGAAGTTTGGAAATACTAGTAGAAGAATAGGTACTGAACGTAAAAGTAGACATTAGAGAAGCTATCTATTTCTTTGCCTCTATTTTTTTATAGAGCACATGATACACGTGGATACAGTAACAAATTGAACAAATTCCACGTCATGCATGTAGTACACAGTTTCAATAAGCATGTCATCCGCAGATACGGATTACAGTGTATTTGATTGTATTAGTTTAATGAATTGTTAAAGAAACTGTGTTATTCATTAGTTCATGTTAGTTTTTCGAGTGTCCTGAGAGTAGAGTATATCCCTGTGTTATGTAAGAAAATATGAGATATACGAAGTGGCAGAAAAGTCGATTTCTCGAAAAGAAAACATTAAATCTCACGATTGTGTCTCAGGCAATTGAGCTCAGTTTTCTATCAATGTCACAAGCATATGCAACGTTGATAGCCATAACGACATGACCAGAATAATTTTCTTTTAAGTATAACGATTGATCTGAACAAGCCAATTTTATTTCTTATAGATAAAAGAAAAAACCACTGGAAATGCTCAATACGTAAACTAGCACAAATGCACCTTTGTCAGAAACACATCAATGCCTCCGTAGCAATTCAAGCAATTCAGCCGATTATGTTTTTTTTTTCTATGCGGCAAATTTAACCTTTCTATCTTTTAGAAACATACCTAAAGAGACTCTTTACTGACTGTATGAATCTATCTTTATTGACCATGAATAAATAAAAGTTTCTATTAACATCACTCCCTCTAGATTAGAAAGAGTTTCTATAGACATTTTGTCCTAAATCTTAACTTTCAACTTCCTTTTCTCATTGACAGAAAAGATTAGCAAAAATCCCACAGCCGTAGTAGAAATAATGAGATATTTCTTTTTGTTCAACAGACTTTTGTGTCACTCTGTATTCAACATGATAAGTATACAGACAAGCTTTCATACTTCTGCTCCGATATAGTGAAGATTCTCAATAAATAGCAGATCATCAGCACAATACATACACAAGAAATAGTAAGATAAACATCACTTCTTGGGATAAATGATTGAAATGACATGAAGAAATACATCTTAGGATACTATGCCGGTACTTTATGCCCATACTTTACTTTGAACACGGTGATACATACAGTAGAAAAAAGTTGACCAGTAAGAAAGCTTTTCTTTCTTGGATATCCATACTTTTCGAATAGTACCCATGGCACATCGTCAATGACCATGTAATCTGCATCATTGTCCCATTCTTCCGGAATGAAATAACTGACGCAGTAATTGACAACGCCCGGTAGACTCAAAGCAAATGATGTTTTTCCTAAATTGTTATTTTTATTTTACAATAAGGAAAACATATGTTATGTGAAAATGTCAACGACAACCCTCTGTTACTTACCTGTACCTGACGGACCGATTATGATCAGAGCTTTTGGTCGGACCGTTTTCTTCTCGAAGTATTTGCGTAAATGTTTAGAGACTTCTTTCTATTGTGTACACGTTTCGATAGTAATAACTAAAAAGAAAATACAAGATTTAACCAATGTGAAATAAGTATCCCTACGAAGTCTCGGTGTCAAGTCAGGAAAAGATACTGTGCAACAGAATTTCTTTTTCATTGCTTGTGCTCGTCGTTTTTTAATTTGTGCAATTGCATAGATGCGATTTAAGTTTGCTTCCAACCTTCGATTTGGAAAAAGAAAAACAAATGAAAGAGAATTTTTTCGGATAGGTTTTGCTTTGGGTGATTGAATAATGGAAAATTCCCATGTAAAAAAAATCAGATTAAAAATCGATTAAAATGAGACAATTTTAATCTGATTTTAATCAATTATAATCGTTTTATTTCAATAGTCGATTTTAATCTATTTTGATCGAATATTAGTAGATTATGATCGATTAAAAAAGATTAAGTCAAATAAAATCTGTCTTTTTTGAGGCTGAAAACCCCAATTAAAATCAGATTAAAATTGTCTCATTTTAATCGATTTGTAATCTGATTTTTTAATATTTTATTTTTTTATATGGGTAGCTGGAGTTTAAAAAATATAGGTACTGTTTTAATTTCTTTAGAGCCACGGGCTTATTCTCCGCGATAAGCAAATCCAAAGCCGCATTGACGTCCTTCTTTTGACACACACGAACCATACGTTGGGTAAACTCGTTCGAAAGTTCGTCTTCTTTTGTTGCTCCTGAAAAAAAAAAGTGCCCGATATTGTTAACAGATGTGTATTCTAGAAACAATAGCAGTCTTCCAATGTCAGTGACATCATTCGTAATATTGGTTCTTTTGAATAGCATTTTTCTTTTCCAGAAGATCCGTTTTTGTACTCTGCAGCAGCACATTCCTTTTACTTTACTTCTTTATTAGGTTGGCATTTTTCTGAATTATCATGACAACGAATAATCAAAGATGTGTAATCATTCTTTTGTACGACAACTCCGTTTCAATTTCAGTTTCTCCACTGTATGTTGAAAGGATTTTGGAAGTGTTTGCTTAGTTTCATTATGTGAGAAGGATGATTTTCTATAACACACTTCGCTCTGGCAAGAAATGTTCAGCAATATTCAGTCAATTTGTTATTTGTTCTTGATCGAAAATTCTTAAGAACGTTATACTTTAAAAGTACCAAGTTGGGTACATACAAAAGTAGGGAAAGAAATTCTGTTTCATTTTAATAAAGCTAATGTTTTTCTGTTGGTTTCCTTAGCCATGATTGTCATAAACACTCAGTCCACGAAAGTGTATCTTATGGGACTATGAATTTCACTTTCGATGTCCTATTTCTGAAAAAAAAATGTTAACGACTACTATATGTTACTTTTTTCTTCAAGTTTATGATTAACATTTATTTATTTATTTATTTTTTGTTTGAACACGTTTCATCGTTTCAGAACAATGAAGTCTATTTCCTGATGCTAAAACGTTTTTAGTTATAACGACAGTGATCACCAGAAATCGCTTTCGAAAGATTTTTTTGTACGTAGGCAATGTTGAAGCCTTCAAAAAGAGTTGCTTTAAGATTGCCAATCAACGCGTACGGACGAAGGGGAACTTCTCTTTAAAATCACTGTTATTTAGTCCTTTGAAAGGAACAACAGATATGTTGTTTTCAAGTCGAAGAGCATAGAATCTTGAAAAGGAGAATTAGATGACTACTCTGTAGAACTTAAGTCTATGTATGTTTCTAACAATTACTGCCAGTGTCAGCCAACTAGTCAAACAATTATTGTTTCTAGGACATTCGTGAGCTTTTTTTCGTTACGTTGTTTTATAGCCTTTGGCCATCGCTTTTTACCACCACGAGAATATGTACTTTTAAATGAACCACGTTCCGTGAATGTTAAACCTAGGTAAAATAAAGAAGAGTATTATTTTCATTGTCAATCGTTTATTGAATGCGAGTAGATGCGATATTTTCTAGAACAATATTCTTACTTTTTTTCATATATTCATTCCATGGTTTATCAAATTTTGTTACATGATATTCACATACACAATCTATAGAAATAGAAGAAAATAGTATGTGAACAACGAATATTATCATTCAGCTTTCAATTGTAAAAACATACTAAGAAAATGATCCATGAATGGTTCATTCAATGTCTTGATCTCGTCTACAATGATCTGTATATGAACACGTGGAATGTCCGTACCATGTTCGTTTTCATTCGCAATACAAATATAATTTGGTGTCAACATCTTTCGTTCCAAAAATTGATATATGAATGACACTACTTCTTCTCCTAAATACATATGAGACGATATTTATCAATATGATTTGATAAACATATATCACAAAAGACAAAGTAATGTATTCATTCCTATACAAGTATAATACTTGGTACAATTGAAAAGCCTGAGATTGCCATCGACTTCGAATTCAATTTGTATCCTTCAGGACCTCTTCGTGTATGTCCGTAACAATTATGTACGTTTGGTAATTTGAAACCCACCTTCTCTGCAATGCCTTTTGCACCTATACACAATGGTGTTCCGAAAGGCATTCAAGATAAGAGACGATCAAGATTTTATATCACTTACTTAGCTGCCCACATTCAAAAAATGGACAATCATGATGTTGCACTTCCTGACCTTCACAAGGCACAGGTGGATATGGATGCATCCAAAAATCAACTTGCGCCCCGAGAGCAGCATATTTTTCTGTAGTTGTGTTCGTTGCATCAACCATGACCTCTTCTTGAGAATTTGTGCTAGATGATGGACCTATGCAAGTAATATGTTTAACTAAAACAACAATCAGCTTGAATGAACAAATATTTTTTACTAGAAATAGACGGATTTTCAATCTCCATCTCTGTTTCTGAATCACTATAATCTACCAAACTGGTTGTCATTTTGCTTTTGTACCAATAATGGTAGGTACAACGTGTGAGAGTTTGTAAAAAGAAGCTTAAAACGATCTAGAATCGAATATTAACTATCAAAAAATTTGATAAGTGAGTCATCTTTTATGTTTATTATACACTATGATTTCATTTATGCCTTGCGTCCAGTGATAAACACTTTATAAGACAAAAATCGGAAGCTACATTGTACATGTTACTTATATAATTACGAAACCTTTGTGTATATATTCTGGTGCACCGCTATGAAAAGTGTGCTATTCATACCAAATATGTGTTGACATTTGATTTTTTTTATATCTGTAAAATCATGAGAACATATCTTAGTTTTTATTTATTCAAAAACACAAATAGTTTAAAGAAAATAAATAAAGAAAAGGGTGTGGGTGTGTGG